AAGAAAAATTTCCCCGAAAGCCATATAATAAATCCTTTATTGACCAAGCTTGTTCAGTCAAGATGGCTGGATATTGGCCTCGTTCTTTTTTTGCGAATTCATGGACCTCGACTCCATCTCGGTCCATAAACACGCAAAAAAAGAACTTGGCCAATATCCAGCCATCTTCACCTCACACTTGGTCAATAATCCATACATATGACAGGAGATAATGTGATGTTTTAGAATATTGGTAGCACTTGGGGGTGAAAAAAAATTTCAAGCCACGCCTTCAAAACAGGATCTCTTAGAGGTTCTTTTCAAGGGGCCCCCATGGGCTATTATCCTCCCGGGCAACATTTGGGGAGCTTCTTGCCGGGTGCACGTCACCCAGTTTAAATGCAAGGTTGTTTTATATTTTTCATTTGTTAGAATCTGTCACCTGATGGTTTCTGTCAATTTAAATCCTCTAATTCTTGGGAATATTCAATGCAGTCTCCAGTGAAAAAAGTGGCCAATTCCAAAGCTTTTCCTGTTAAAATACATGTGATGTCGACAGGACAGTCTCTTCAGCCTGCTGAATGCTGATTGGTTAATTCAAATTTTGGAAGCAACGGCCCTATGAAAGACGGACTCATCCGCCTGGGTTCCATAGCAACCCAAGCATGATGGTCTGGGTTCACTAAGTAATCAGCTAACATTTTGGTCATTTCACAGTATATAGGAACTGATCATGGCCCATCTGATTAAAGTGCACATGTTTTTTGTTATTATTGACTGATTTACTTATTTATGGATTTCTTGATTTGTTTACAGTGGAACATGGTCATGGTCAGCAATGAGACATGAGTTATTTTCAGGTGCCCATATTCACTGACAAGAGACGAATTGTCCAAAGTAAAATTTAGAGGGTATGCTAATCTGCAACTATTTACCTCTCTTAGATGGGGGATGATTCATCTAGATATAAACTGTCCCTGTTTAGACATAGAATGGGGAAAAATTCGTCTGGGGCAGATACAGGACTTTTGGGAAGCTGGTTTGAGACATGGACTGCCGAAGGYGGTCCCCTGTATGGGGGTCCTGGGACATCCTCCCCTAAAAAATTTAAAAATTGAAGTTTTCGTAAATGGGATTTCTGTCATTGTGGCCTAGTCAGTGTGTTAGAACCCACCTAATACCCCTAGATCTGCCCCAAATTCGTCTTTGTGTGATCTGTCTGTCAGCACATCTTGAAGTTGTTACGTAGCAAACAACTAAGAATACAATACAATGCAACAACAGTATAAATCAAGTTTATTCACAGCATTCTTATTCCACCCAAACTTCCCATGCAAACATTGCAAATGAGACTGTTACCCAGAAACCACTTATGGGCAAGAGTTAGGGTGAAAACAACTCTTGCTGCCTGAGGAATAACAGGAGTTATAATCCATCCAATATTTTAGCTCGCACTGGATTGATCTAAATGCGCCATGTGACTGAATATGCTCTAGCTAACACTAGGGAATATCTGAGTGATATTCCCCAATATCCAAAACTATGCGTACCATGAAAAATATTTGAAGGATAACAAACACAATAGCAGCCATTTAGCATGAAAATATGCTTGGATATTTGTCCTTGGACATTGTCCGTTTTTAAGAGCTCACAGTTTTGGTCAAGCCCACGGAAAACTGTTTGCTTCTCAGAACAGATAATGTCCACAGACAAATATCTGAGCATATTTTTGTGCCAAATAGAGGCTATTGTTTATATATAATGGGCCCTGTGCATCTAGAAGGGTAGTGGTAATACACAAGTTATAAGGTAGGGGTGTGCCATCGGAACGTGGAAAGACGTACCCTGTAGCAGACCATGTGCAGCTGCATTTCACATTCTTATTCTAGAGTACAACTAATCATAGTCTATGAATTTTAAGTCTTAAAAGACTTGTTTTCAATCTTGTTAAGTATGAGCATTGTTTAATTAATAATGGATTCTGTGCTGTGGGTCAAATGTTAAAAAGTTAAATGTAAATGAATAACAAGCCCAACCAAACCACCCACGTCCATATAATTCTTTCCCATAATGTTTTTTTTTTTTTAACAAAGGTATCATTTTAGTGGTAAGCTGGCAATTCAGTGGCAAATCTAATAAAGTTGAGAAAAAAAACCCAGAAAAGTGGAAGAGTAGACAGTTTCTTGGTCTAAGAAAGTAAAAATATAAGAAAATCACAGGGCAGTGCACTGAAGGTGCCAGGTTCCACAGGCAACTAATATTTGCCTTTGGGCGACTGCAAAAATTTACTTTTTCTCATAGTAACTTAAGTGCTTGGCACCCAGGATTTAATGGTTAGGAACCTTTGGGCTCCTTGTAATTTTCCCTTAACATCAATTTACATTAACATTTGTAGTCAGTGTCTTCAATAAGTGCAAAAAACACTTGAACATGAAACTTCAAAGGTTCTTACCTAGTTCTTACTTACTTGTAAAACATAAGAAAATAAGCGGTTACTAGTGTAACTAAACCACATGTACATAAGCTAACAAGCAGTCATATCAGTTTTCCTTTGGCTGTAAGTTTTCACACTTTGTCTTTGAGTAGGTCACTTGTCAGCAAACTGGTTAAATAAACTAAGTACCATATTGTCATTAAGACAAAGTGTGTGATAAATTTCCTTTCTTTAGTTCACGCATTTTCTTGGCTAGTTCAATCCCCTTACTCAAACCACCTGGAAAAACTAGGTTTGTATTTAACACACGCTTGCCTACTTCCTTTAACTTGCTGCCGATGTTGCCAGATGCATCTGTTTCACAAGAATACATCTTTTCATGAGGTTCAAACTTGGGTGGTAGCTCTTCAAGTCCATCCTTTGCCCTTGAAAATCTCACCTTCTTGTGAATAAAAACTGCAGTATAGCACTCGTCAATTTGTGTATGGGCACCAAAAAGATCTTTTTCCTTAATATAATAAATCACGGCAATGTCAGTTCTATTCTTCAGGCATGTCTCTGACCAATAACAGCCTGGAAGAGCTACATTAGCATATTTATCAAGTACACGACATTCTTTTTCTTCGATATTATGACCAAGATACAAGGAGCCTCCTGGCATTAAAATACGTAGCAGCTCTCTGACTAGATTGCATTGTACATTTTTATCACCCAAGTCTCGTAGCCCTCCATAGTTGATGGCATGCGCGAATTTCGGTTTGTCTCCAAGGAAATGAAGTTTTCCATCTGAGCTTATTGTTCCAAAGCTACTTGGCGTGTCATTGAATAGTTTTTTTGCATACTCCACAGCGTATTGATCGACATGAGCACCACCAATACCTATTTTCGGGTATTTCTTTCTGAGTAGAGTTAACCATTCATTACAGCCAGTGTTGCTGTCGAACACCGATGTCTCATCATTCAAATTCAGCTGTTTTGCCAATTCAGGAATCCAGCTTTCCTCTACCGTCGTTTCATTAGCGTGTTTGCGTCGACAGTGAATATCTTCCCAGTTGTGTTTAAACACCGTTTTCTGAAACCAGTGATGAAAATGTTGCTTGGCTCGATCTAAAATCCCTTTTCCACCAGTAGCTCGAAGACTGAATTGTGCCAATAGGAACATGAATAGGATCAAAATGGTCGCCACTGCCATGAATACAATGCGGCCATAACGAACGTTAGTGATCCTCATACTGCGTTTCCAGCAAGTCGGATACATAAATGCCATCCACGATTACATTACTACCTTCCTATATCCATGGTCGTGTAGTTTCTACATGAAATTGCTTAAAATATTAATAATTCCAAACATCGAGTGGATCAACGATAGTGCAGTAAAATACACGTCGAACATGAAACTGAGGCTACCCTCAACCCCAGGGTCTTCTCCGTCTCACTTTCCGCGGTAGCCAAACCAAGCAATAAAGTTACGCACCAAGGTACCCTGGTATGCACCCTGCAGCCATTTCCTAGTTACCTTGCTTTCAGTTTGTTTTTTCTTTTCTCTTTTTTCATGTGATTTTTCTCCTGATCTCCCCGGGTGGTTCCTGGGCAATCATGTAGTATAAAATGTTTAAGCAAGCAGCCGGTAAGATGATCCTGCTGGTATACGTTGGATCAATAGTGATCTAATCGGCTTTGCATATAAAATGAAGAATACAAAAGCAAAAACCGACACAACGTAGAATGATTTTTTGAAGGTGTACTATATTTCGGCTGGCCAAACCAGCCTTCTTCAGG